TACGTCACCCCAGTTCTCCTCTTCATTAAACTAGATATACCCAATCCGTGCAACCTTTTTTCGTATGTTTTAGCCTCCAGTCCCCTAATCCTCTTTGTTGCTCTTCTCTGAACTCTTTCCAGAGTCTCAGCCTCTTTTTTGCATTGTGGCAACCAAAAAACTGGATGCAGTATTCTAAGTGTGGCCTTACCAAGGCCTTATAAAGTGGTACTAACACGTCACGTGGTCTCGATTCTAGCTCTAAATCACTCCGAACTTCTGAAAGATAATATAAAGCAATCAGATCCTGCAAGAACGGGAGGAAGGAATCTGAACCTCTAGCCTTCCGTACAGAAAGATTGCAATCTTTCTCTGAAGTGTGAATGTGTCACCCTCCTTTTTTTTTTCCTGCTAGTAACACCAGGACTGTTACTCTGGGGAGTCCTCCCAGCCCAATCTAAGTTAAACATTGAGTCAGGAAGCTGAAGACAAAGAAGAGTGTGTCAGGAATGAAAAAATAAAAAATCACGCCTGCCGCTGTGGAGCCTTTTGCTTCTTTGACTTCGGGAGGGGCACAGATCAGGATTCCCAAGTGGAGAAAAAGAGAAGGAATCTTAAGGTCAAGTTTCTAGTCCTCATGGTGGTAAAGGGCTGTCGGGGAGAAGGAACAGAGCTTCTGCCACTGTGTGGCTTAGTGGGTGAAAACATGACAATTGCAGAGCTCCTGGATTTTGTTCTACTTCTGCAGTTAGTCCTTAACTTTGGCCGTAACTCACTGCAGTCGTAAGTCGAGGGACCACATGACCAGACACTATATAAATTCTAAATAAAATGCCGGTGGGCCAAGGGCCCAAATTTTGGAAAGGCTTTAATTTTATTTTATAGGTATTCCTATCAAATATTCCCGCTCTTAGATTTTTTTTTTAATAATATCAAACAGCATTTGTGGTTGATTTACTGTATAAAGGAGGGGTTTACTTATATGTCATCCAACCATATATATCCAACCTTATAGCTCATCCTCTTTTATTTTATTTTTCTTTGTTACGTGAACTATAAAAGGGGATGTGAGCTAAGGATCAGGGCTCTCCCTTTGAAAGAGAGGAATCCCTTTGGTCTGAAAAGTCTGATAAATTGGAATAAAATAATCTTCCTGTCTTGGTTTGTCTCATTGGAAAATATGCGTGGCAAGGTAACAACAACAGTAACAACAACAAAGCCTGGATAGTGGACGTGGCAGTGCCTGGAGACAGCAGAATAGACGAGAAAGAACTGGAGAAGATAACAAAATACAAAGACCTACAAATCGAACTAGAAAGACTGTGGCAAAGGCAAGCAAGGGTAGTATCAATAGTAATAGGCGCCTTGGGTGCAATCCCAAAACAACTGGAGCACCACTTGAACACCGTCCTCGGCATTGACAAATTCGCCATTAGTCAATTGCAAAAGGTGGCCTTATTAGGAACTGCTTCCATCCTGCAACGATACCTGTAATACCATGAAACATCCAGATCTGCCTATCCCAGGTCCTTGGGAAGGACTCGATAGGTAGACAAAAATGCCAAATCCAGTCTGAACATAATAATAATAATAAAGTTGGAAGGGACCTTGGAGGTCATCTAGTCCAATCCCCTGCTCAGGCAGGAAACCCTACACCATTTCGGACAAATGGCTGTCCAGTCTCTTCTTAAAAACTTCCAGTGTTGGAGCATTCACCGCTTCTGGAGGCAGGTTGTTCCGCTGGTTAATTGTTCTAACTGTCAGGAAGTTTCTCCTTAGTTCCAAGTTGCTTCTCTCCTTGATTAGTTTCCATCTGTTGCTTCTTGTCTTGCCTTCGGGCGCTTTGGAGACTAGCTTGACTCCCTCTTCTTTGGGGCAGCCCCTTCATTTGGCCTCCATTACATATGCATCAGTCAGGCCAAGCTCATCCTGAAATGATCCGGCACAATCTTTCTGTCCATTTGTCCTTCATAATAGAGGAAACCTCCAAATGGGAAACAAGATGTTCTAGAGCACAAAGCAGTGACTCAGCTCCGGTGCTAAGGAGCCCCTTCCTTAACAGGTTAAAAAAAATATTTTCGATGCCCTGCAGGGTCTGAAAAATCACAGATATCTAGGCAGGCTGGCAAGCACCCAGTCTGCCACACACATGCAAATAATATGAACCTGGTGCTAATTATATCCGAACACAATGTGCCCACGGGCCACTGCTTTCCAGAAAAGGCTCCACGTGGTTCAGTACAAGCTGTCCACCACTTTTGCGATACATTCGTCTCATGGGGAGCCACAGGAGAACAGAGCCCTTGGCTGTTATTAAAGCTTATTTCCTAATAAAGCCGCGCAGCTAACTTCACATTTGCATCTACTTTGGCAAAAAGCAACATCTCAACCTTGGGGGGAAAAAATGACAGAATAACAGAGTTGGAAGGGATCTTGGAGGTCTTCTAGTCCATAGGTTCTTAACCTGGGCGATATTGCCCCCCAGGGGGCGATTTCATTTTTCAGGGGGGGCGATGGAATGAAAAGGGGCGACGCGGGGGCAAAGGAACGAAAAGGGGGCGATATGGGAGCAATGGAGCAAGAAGTTTTGGGGACACTTTTGAGACTTTTTGTACAGTGAATCGCTGTATATCTGTCGTACAAAAACATCAGCTCGCTCACTATTAGTGGATTGAATTGTGTTTCCAAATGTTCCTCCAGCTAGCTTCAGTACAGAACACCGTACATATGTGAAGACGCATCGCTTATCTTCATGCACATTGCGCAGCAGCCTCTACCCATACAGTGGTGCGCCATTGGCCAGAATATGGGAGACATGGGAAAAAGACTGGAAATAAATTATTTGCATCGATATGTCCTGATGACAATTTTAAAGAAAACAAAACAAGGGTTTACATAAATGGAAGAATTATTTCCCATGTTGTGATTGAGAGGTTGTGTTGGGGGGGGGGGCGATGACAACTTCCTCATTGGCTCAAGGGGGCGATTCGTTCAAAAAGGTGAAGAACCACTGGTCTAGTCCACCCCCTTTTTCAAGCAGGAGACCCTATACCGTTCCGGACAAATGGCTATCCAATCTTATCTCCAAACCCTCCAGTGATGGAGCACCCACAACTTCTGGAGACAAGCCGTTCCACTGGTTAATTGTTCTCTATTCTGATTCTGATTGATTCTGATGCTGATGGATTATGTGCCAACAAGTTGGTGTCAACTCTGCAGTCCACACAGAGAGATTTTCTCTAGGAGGAGCTAGTCCCAACCTGGTCCTTCACATCTTCCAATGATGCCCCCATCACTACGGTCACTGGATCCATCCACCTGGCTCCTGGTTCTCCTTTCCTTCTCTTTCCTTCCACCCTTCTCAGCCGTAGAACATTTCCCAGGTCTTCATTTCACGTGCCCAAAGTAGCATCATTAAGAGTCTGGTTGTTTATGCCTGGAATGAGAACTCTGGATTGCTTTTGTGCGATGATGGATCGATTTGTCTTCTTGGCTGTCCATGCTCTTCTCAGGCATCTCTTCCAACATCAAGGGTGTCAATGCACTTTGTAGCCTACTTTTCATTGGCCCCTTTTGTTTAGCTTTAAACAGTGAGCCCATTTCCAAGATAATTCCAAATATAAGAAGGTGGGTGACTAGATCAAAATGTTGAGGAGCGAAAAGAGACTCTTGTAACAGGTTATCCAGACTCTTTTGCTAAGAGCGCTGAATTTTTGAGAAGGGATTTATCGAATTAGCAGACAGCTTCTATTTTAGCTCAGTGGTGTATGTGTGTGTATGTGTGCCCTCTCCTAGACTGATAGACAAATGGGAACAAAAACAACAAACCCTCAATACGTTTACCGGCATAGCTATCTGTTACACTATCCTTTGACACTAGATAATCTTTTCATTTGTTTATTAAATTTATGTGCTGCCCATCTTGCTATCTAGATTATCAAACTTCCATCATGCTGCAGTTTTTCCTTCATCCCATCCATCTCCACCTCATCATGCAGCTTACTCTGACCACTACACTGTTTCTGCTATGCCCCTTTCGCATTGGACGGTGCTTAACATCTGGGGAGAAATGAACAAAGAAGAGAAGGGGACAACATCAACACCAGTCTATCCTGAACATCTCCCTTTTCATGTTTCAGAGCCAGGGATGGATGGGACTCTTAACTAGATCACTATATATTCTTAGGTTACGGTTTGTTGTTGGCCTTCCTTGCTCGGTTTCTCAAACTCGATACTCTCTAAGGCAGTGGTTCTCCACCTGTGGGTCGGGACCCCATTTGGGGTCGAACGACCATTTCACGGGGGTCGTCAAACAACGCAGTCCGCCATTTTTCCCCCTTTTCCTTAGCTGTGCTACTCCCTTTTATTCTATTGGCTTTTGAAAGCCAATAGAATAGACTCTCTTGAATAGAGTCTAATTCTATTGGCTTTCAAAAGCCAATAGGAATTGTCCAGGCTGTCTCTGCCCTGCTGAGCCCGCCAAAAGTCCCATTCTGCAAACGGTGCTGCACCAGTTGAGTAGTCCTTGACTTACGACCGGTTAGGGGGTTGCAGCATTAAAAAGGTTGAGAACCACTGCTCTAAGGGGTGCAGACTTCAACTTCCAGAGTTCCCCAGCCAACTTTAAGAAGCGTGGATTTCAACTCCCGCAATTCTCCAGCCAACTTCAAGAGGTGTGGATCAACTCTCAGAATTTCCCAAGCATCTTCAAGAGATGCGGACTTCAACTTCCAGAATTCTCCAGCCAACAGTTCTCTCCACGGAATTCTGGGAAATGAAGTCTGTACATCTTTAAGGTAAAAAGAACACTGTTATGGAGCCTCCAGTAACACATACAATCTACCTCCAAATCTTTAACCCCCAACTCTTCCAACTGAAAAGTGTCTTCCAACAAACTGTTGAGACAGATCCTTGTCAGGTGAAGAGAAGGCTCCAAAGTAGTTTGGTTAAATGGAATAAAATGCCCCCTCACCCCTCCTTCTCCACAGCTTCAGCAGCTCAGCCTCCCCGTGGCCCCTTACCTCCTCAGTGGTGAGAGGCATACAGATCCGATATTCCTTCACCAGCATTGCTGCTCTTAGGATCAGGATGCGTCCTTCTCTTCAGATGGAAAACGGGGACTTCGTCACCAACCCAGTGGTTCCCTGAGATTCCTCAAGGAAAGCATCATCCTGTAGGGAAACAGGAATTCCTGACCAGAGGTTGGGGCAGAGAACAAGACTTTAGAACAACTCAAGGGCCAACTCTGGGTGCACATCTGGCAAGCGAAAAGCTAAAACTGGCTAAGTCTCCAGCAGCTTTCTCTCCCTTCTGCTCCAACAATGGCTCATGACTTCATCATTGGTTGCCATGGCGGCCATTGTGAAGTCACTGGCCTCCTCTCCATGTCAGGCCAAGGGAGGAGCAGCTGTTGGACCAAAGAGGCACAGAGAAGACCATCCCAACCTTTGCCCTTGCTCAGTTGCAGATTCTCTTCCAGCTCTAGATCTTCTAAAGCTCCTTCTCTTCCTTTGAAGGATTTCCTCAAATGTTCCTCCAGAGCTCGACATAAAAGGGTGAGGGGGTTAATCAGGAGAAAAAGAAAGCAGAAATGAAATGTTCTCGAGGTCTGGCAGGCTAACATTGCAGGCTTAGCCATGATTTCCAAGTTACAGGCTGAAACTTATTAGATCTCTGGAGAGCTACAGGAAAGAAGCTGATATCCCCAGATCACTTCCCAAGGCCAAGATTCTAGCTGTTTTCTCCACAGAGGAAAGCAAACATCTGTCTTATGCCCCTGTCTGGGTACAGACCCTCCCTACCAATATGGGACTGAGAATCTTCTAGAACAGAGAAATCCACTTTCGAGGTAAGCTTGAATTTTGCTGCCTGTTCTGCCTGACTAAAACAAAACACCTCCACGTGCGATGATTCATTTAGTGGAATTATATTTCCAAGATTCTTTTCTTTTTCTTTTTTTGAAAAAGGGAGGTAGTGGTGATGGTGGGGGGGAAAGCTGGCTGGTAACAAAGCACAACATCCATCTTCAACCTAATCTTTCATCCTAGGATATAAAATGGAGGAAGGTGGTAGAAACTCAGAACGTTGTTTGGGAGGGCCTTGAGAAGATCGGGCCTTGAGTTGTTTATAAAAATAATGAAGGAAGGAAGGAAGGAAGGAAGGAAGGAAGGAAGGAAGGAAGGAAGGAAGGAAGGAAGGAAGGAAGGAAGGAGGGACAAGCTGAAGTGGGAGAAATCAACTTAGAGGTTTAGAAGTGGTAGGAAGAACAACCTCATGAATTTGCCTTCTGGGAAACCAGCTTTTTTGCACTTGGGCATACTCAGTATGTCAAGCACCTTTTGAGCGTGCTAGTGTTAAAAGAAAACAACATAAAACATAACATAGGATAACAGGCTGAAAGGGACCTTGGAGATCTTCTAGTCCAACCCGCTGCTCAAGCAGGAGACCTTATGTTATTCCAGACAAATGGTTGTCCAATCTCTTCTTGAAGATCTCCAAGTGATGGAGCCCCCACAATTTTTGACCTGTTCTCCATACCCCAAGAGGGACAATTGACCCAAGCAATGATGGGATTCAGGTCCTGCAACTAGACTGCAGAATTGGTACTCATGAAAAATCAAAGCACTGGAGAGCTTTGATGGGAGTGTCTGGCTGTTCTTCTCTTTCCAGCTAGGGATGCCATGATGATGATGTTCACTTGTTGCTAACGGTTTCAAACGATGCCAACTTTCCATGAATTGCATTATTGGGAAGACCCCTGACTAAGCAGTTCGACCCACCCAGCCCTCCAGCAGGTATTGCAGGCAACCATAGAAATGCCATTGGACAAAGGTGCCCTTGGATAGAATGCAGAGAAGAGCAATGAAGATAATTAGGGGGCTGGAGGCTAAAACATATGAAGAACGGTTGCAGGAATTGAGTATGTCTAGTCTAGTGGAAAGAAGGATGAGAGGTGACATGATAGCACTCTTCCAATACTTGAAGGACTCCTACATAGATGATCAAACTATTTTCCAAAGCACCAGAAGGCAAGGAAAGAAACAATGGACAGAAACTAACCAAGGAGAAAAGCAACCTAGAACTGAGGAGAAATTTCCTAACGGTGAGAGCAATCAACCAATGGAACAGCTTGCCTTCAGAAGTTGTGAGTGCCCCATCACTGGAGGCTTTCAAAAGGAGACTGGACAGTGCTTAAAGCAAAACAGTGTAGATGTACATGAAAGAGATAAATGAACTGATTCAAGAGGAAGGAAAGGAGGGAAGGACAGAAGGGAAGGCTGGAGGAAAGGGGAAGAAGAAGGAAGGAGAGGAAGCGAGAAGAAGGAGGGAAAGAAGGAAGAAAGAAATGAAGGAAGGAGACAAGGAAAGAGGAAGGAAGTAAGCAAGCAAGGACAGAAGAAACTGATTACAAACTAAGTTGTAATTTGATCCCAAGGAGCAAAGCAGGACCGGGGTCCAAACTATTCTTTGGTTTGATCCAACAGAATCCTATTCCACAGTTTCCTTCCACACTGAACCGTGTTTCTCAAAGCTGGCCACTTTAAGATGGGTGGAATTCATCTCCCACCTTGTTGGCTGGTGAATCCCGCAAGTTGACGTCCACTCATCCATCTTAAAGTGGCCAGGCTTGAGAAACACCGCACCAAACCCTCTTCAATGCTGATCTAGTTTCAAGTTATCCCCGTGCAACTGAGGTTTGTTCACATGCTCAGCGGCAGCATGTTTCAAAAGCAGCGTGCATGTGTCCAGGCATTGCTCCTTCGTCCCTTCTCTTTCCATCTGCCCCCTTTTCCTGCCAAAGAGCACCAGGGCAGGCTAAACCATTCTTTGGCTGCTCACCTGCCCTGGTTTCTGATCGGCGAGATAACTCAGCCTGAGCACACCTGGCCCAAGGTGACCTGCTGGATTCTGTAGCCAAGCGACCATCTCGCTTGGATTACCTGGTGTCAGATCAGCATTGGGCAGCCGAGTGTACCACCTCTCAACCAGTTATTATCCATGACACTGACAGCTGTTGGAAGTCAGCACCCACCCTCTCTCCTAGAGAAGGAAATATTTGGGGGGATATTAAAAAAAAAGAAGGCAGAATGTTATATTTCCCCAAAGGAATAATGGAGAAAAAAATCTTAGGCAGAAACCAGCCCACGCTCTCCTTCTCCCAAGCAGGCCAGCTTTTAGAAATGCAGATTTGCAAGGCGATCAAACCGGTCAGTCCTAGAGGAGATCAACCCCGACTGCTCTTTAGAAGGCCAGATCCTGAAATTGAAACTCAAATACTTTGGCCACCTAATGAGAAGGAAGGACTCCCTGGAGAAGGGCCTAATGCTGGGAAAGATTGAGGGCAATAGAAGAAGGGGACGACAGAGAAGGACGTGGCTGGATGGAGTCACTGAAGCAGTAGGTGTGAACTTAAATGGACTCCAGAAGATGGTAGAGGACAGGAAGACCTGCAGGAATGTTGTCCATGGGGTCGCGATGGGTCGGACACGACTTCGCAATTAACAACAACAACAACAACAATTCATAAGCAAAATGCCTTCAGCCCCAGCCACAGAGAAGCAGGACATGACCTTTAGAACAATAATAGGATTATCCCACCACCATTAGAATACTAAAAAGGCACCCTCAAGCTCAGATCAAAGTACAGTTGCACAGGAACAGGAAGAACCCCAAATATAAAGCCCAAAGAAGGAATAAATGTCCACCTATCCCAACTCCATTTTGTCAGCTGTCCCAGAACCACATGCTGTTGGTTCTGTTCTGCAGTAGACGGAACCTTCCTTCCAAACAGCCTCCATTTTATTTATTCCCGGCTTGGACTGGACCTGATGATTTTTCTTTCAACACAGCTGTCTTGCCATAATCATGATTTATGCTTTTTTACCTACCAGCCACCAAGGTCCCTGGTCTAGTTCAACCTCTTCTCAGACATTCTTTTGTGAAACAGCCTTGCGAAAGAATCCTTGTTGACATATTTGCATATAAGCTTTTGCACTGGAAACAAATTCCTTGTGTATCTAATCACTCTTGGCCAATAACGTTTTGTATCTACTTCTACTCTTATTCTATCCAAATAATTAAGCATGCACCAGTTTGACAAATCAAAGCCATATACATGAGCCACTCCAAAGGCATTCGTTTGGCAGAGCATCCTGTGCCCAGAAAGCAGTTTGTTGCAGTTGAGTTGTAATTTTCACGTCATGTAGAGCTCTGGTTTCCATTCATCCTCTCAAGCTTCCTCCTAAGCAGCCTGCAAGATAGGCCGATTGCAAGACCAAGACTTGCCCCTAATTAGCCAGTCAGTTTTACTATTGAGCTGCAAAACATTCTGCAAACATTTTGTGAAGCAGATTACAATAATCACATCATTTTCCACCAAACATTGCCTTCGTTTAGAACAATGTTTCCCAATCTTTGGAACTTTCTGGGATTTCAACTCCCAGAATTCTTTCTTTCTTTCTTTCTTTCTTTCTTTCTTTCTTTCTTTCTTTCTTTCTTTCTTTCTTTCTTTCTTTCTTTCTTTCTTTCTTTCTTTCTTTTTCTTTCTTTCTTTTTCTTTCTTTCTTTCTTTCTTTCTTTCCTCTTTCTTTCTTTCTTTCTTTCTTTTTTTCTTTCCTCCCTCTTCTCCCTCCCCTCCCTTTCTTTCTTTTTTCTTCCTCCCTCCCTTCCCTTCCCTTTCCTTTCTTTCTTTTTTCTTCCTCCCTCCCTCCCTCCCTTCCCTCTTTCTTTCTTTCTTTCTTTCTTTCTTTCTTTCTTTCTTTCTTTCTTTCTTCTTTCCTCCCTCCCTCCCTCCCTACCCTTTCTTTTTTTTTCTTCCTCCCTCCCTCCCTTTCCTTCTTTCTTTCTTTCTTTCTTTCTTTCTTTCTTTCTTTCTTTCCTCCCTCCCTTCTCTTCCCTTCCCTTTCTTTTTTTTTCTTCCTCCCTCCCTCCCTTTCCTTCTTTCTTTCTTTCTCTTTCTTTCTTTCTTTCTTTCTTTCTTTCTTTCTTTCTTTCTTTCCTCCCTCCCTTCTCTTCCCTTCCCCTCCCTTTCTTTCTTTTTTCTTCCTCCCTCCCTTCCCTTCCCTTCCCTTTCTTTCTTTCTTTTTCTTTTTTCTTCCTCCCTCCCTTCTCTTTCTTTCTTTCTTTCTTTTTTCTTCCTTCCCTCCTTCCTTCCTCTTCCCCTCCCTCTCTTCTCTTTCTCCCCCTCCTCCCTCCCTTCCTTCTGAATCAATTCATTTATCTCTTTCATGTACATTTACACTGTTTCATTTTAAGCATTAATTCTAAAGGCTTTAGAGCATCAGTGATTCCCAACCTTGGCAACTTTTAAGACATGTTGATTCCAACTTCCAGATTTCTGGGAATGGAAGTCCACACACCCCAGTTTGAGAAACACCGATGTATTGAGCAATGCTTCATGGAAAACTCATCCCTCAGACGGAGCACCAACCTTTGCTTTGAGACTTCCTTTCCTTTCTGCAGGAATAAAAGCTTCCAGATGGGATTAGCTGCATGCTTTTTACATTCCCATCTGCAGCCGTTCTTCGAAAAGCCAATGCAATTGTGTTGAGGTAGAGTGTAAATAACACAGCCCAGCTCACCCTGGGGCAAATAGGAGTTTTCCCACCCACTCCTTTTTCCAAGCAACACAAGACGCTTGCAAACCACGTGCCAGACTCAGCCCAACCTTTTATTTATAATAGGGCTTGCTAATCCACACACGTCAATAGCCTTCTGGGAGATGAAGATTCTCAATGTTTAACAATTGCCTGCCTGAGTTAACGCTTCAGCCAAGAGGAATTTGGCTGAATATCACAGCTATTTTGGGAAAAAAAACTTTCAGGGATCTGAAGCAGATAAACAAGAGTTGCCACTAGCAAGATGAAAAGCCTAGCAGGAACTCTCTGGGTTGTGTGTGTGTGTGTGTGTGTGTGTGTTTTTAAAAAAGAAGTCCACCTGCTTTATCAATCCAACTAAAATGGAAAATAATTTGTTTGGGTTACCCCCCAAGCATGGAGTATGAAGTAATCACACAATCACGTTCACTGAATAAATCATAAATCAGAGTTTGCAGGGAAAGACAACCTGGGAATTATTATTTGCAATTGGCACAGGGTGGAAGATGGGAATGTTGCAGCCACAGTAACAGATAGTCCTGTCATTTTTTTTCAGTGCCACTGTAACTTCAAACCATCATTAAGCAAGTGGCTGTAAGTCAAGGACTACAAGTAAACATGGAGCAAAAATGCAATGTGGGAAGGGTCAGATGGGGAATAATAAGAATAATAAGGGCTTGAAAGGGACCTTGGAGGTCACCTAGTCCAACCTCCTGCCCGTGGCAGCAGATCCCATCTATCCAGTCTTTTCTTGAAACTTCCAGTGATGGAGCACCCACAACTTCTGGAGGCAAGCAGTTCCACTGGTTAATTGTTCTCACTGACAGGAAATTTCTCCTTAATTCTAGATCTGCAACCATAGCAGACTTTTTTTTTTTTAAAAAAAAAATCAGGCATGACTCATTTAATAACCACCTTCATTAGCCATGGAAATTCTGGTCCCAGTTTTAAGTCGAGGACATTATGAAAATAGAGTCATCTCAAAAATTAGTAGATCTTCATGCAGAGGTAGAGAGCCCAGCTAAGTTAGCTACCACCCCCAGCTTTGGAGCATGAATGCAAAGCTCTCTGCACATGCTCCAAAACGGCTCTTTGAGACTGCTGTCTAAGGTGCTCTGAACATGGGGCCAAAATTCAAATATGCAGCACTCTAATTAGAAAAATAGTTAGATGGCTCCTTTCCTTGGTTCTTTAAGAAATAGAGGAAAATGAAATAATATTTTCTCAAAAAGTAATGATGGACAGTGTTCGCTTTTCAGCTTCATGAACTGAGGAGGGTCTTTGAACAGGAAGCAAACTCCAAATCTCTCGGAGTTGTGGGGTTCTGTCCTTAGGCTGTCCCATCTTAAAATCTTAAAAATCAGATGTCTTCCATCTTCCATTCTTTCCTATGTTTTTTCACTGCTTGTTCAGATCCGTTTCCAGCCCATAAAAATCCACAAAGGAGAAAAACAATAGGTGATAAGTAACTTCTGCAGAGAAACACTATGTGTGATTGTGTGTGTGTGTGTGTGTGTGTATTTATGCATGTGTGTGTATAACACACACACACACACACACACACTTGACTAATTCCTAAAGCTTGTAAAATATTATTGAAAGTGAAAATAACTGTGTTAAGAATACGTATATTTTTGAAGTCTCCATTTTTTAAAAAACTTTCTCTTAACATAGATAACTTTCAAATTCAATTCAATAATATTGTACGAGCTTTAGGAATTACTCAAGCATTATATATGAAGGGGGGGAAAACACATTTTCAAACCCACTCTATAAACACAAATCTACATTAAAACTTTCTTTGAATTATATATATCAGATTGATTTAAAAAAAATCTATCCTAACTCCAATTAAGTCATTAAATTTAAGTCACTCCCTCCAGTTTGTCTTCATAGAATAGACTTTTTCTTCTTTGGAATGTTTAATGAGTAGCCTCAAATATTCATGTTGGTTTCCAAGGGGAAATTGAGTTATTCATTCTCCTGGGAAGGTGGGGATTTGAAACACACCTGGAGGAAGACAGCCAGCTTCAACTCAAGATCCCCATATAAGCATGGATGCTGCCCAGATTGTTGTTGTTGTTAGTTGTGAAGTTATGTCCAACTTATCGCGACCCCATGGACAATGTTCCTCCAGGCCTTCCTGTCCTCTACCATCTTCTGGAGTCCATTGAAGCTCACGCCTACTGCTTCAGTGACTCCATCCAGCCACCTTATTCTCTGTCGTCCCCTTCTTCTCTTGCCCTCCATCTTTCCCAGTATCAGGCTCTTCTCCAGTGAGTCCTTCCTTCTCATTAGGTGGCCAAAATACTTGAGTGTCAACTTCAGGATCTGACCTTTAAAGAGCAGTCAGGGTTGATCTCCTCTAGGACTGACCGGTTTGATTGCCTTGCAGTCCAGGGAACTCGCAGGAGTCTTCTCCAGCACCGTAGTTCAAAGGCCTCCATTCTTTGGCGCTTGGCCTTTCTTATGTCCAACTTTCACAGCAGTACATTGCAACTGGGAAAACCATGGCCTTGATAACACGCACTTTTGTTGGCAGGGTGATGTCTCTGCTTTTTAGTGTGCTATCTAGATTTGCCATAGCCCGGATTGTGCATGGTTGTAAATCTGGCCTGTGCATCACACTGAACGGTGAGTTGTTTAAGGAAGGGTTGCAGAACCCACACCTTGCATAGCAGGCATATACTTTACTTCACCAGGCTAAGGGCACTAGCTACATTCAGACAAGAAGTTAAGCCGGCAACAAACCATCAGAGCTTCTGATAACCAGAGCAGGATTTTTGACCAATCAGGCTTCTCATCCGGCAGAACCCTCTTGCTTTCCTGCATGAATGACCAAAGGACATTTTTATGTCTCCAGGGAGGCTAAACTTATGAATTAACCGGCTGTATTTGCATAACCCTGACCTCAGGAACCATGGTTTTCTCAATTGCTTCAATTGTCTCCATTTGCAAACACGGGAAAGCTTTGTGCAATCTGTGAGCATAACCCAGGGAGTCAAAAGTAACCCCCCCCCCGGAGTTTGCCGAACGCCAGATAATATTCCAAGAACAAGATCAACTAGGAAAAGAGAGGTGTGTGTGTGGGGGGGGGAAGACAAAAGGCAGATCCATTCAACTACTTCAGTGCTCTGCCGGGCTTAAAAGACGGGGGTTGATTGGAAAGCCCTGGAAATGGTGCTCCCCAGGTTTGCCACTTCTGCCAAATCCACTCCCCTGGCAGCGATGCCCACAGAGAAGTCAGAAAAGTGAAACCAGTGACCCCTGACCATACAACTACAGCACCAGGCTAACTGTGTGGCTGAGAAACAGCAGCAGTCCGGGCATGCTCGAAGGCACCACTTCCCACAGCCCAAAGGGAAAATCCTAGTAGTCTTTCAGCAAATCACGTTTCTGTTTCACTTAAGAAACCCCAATAGCCTCGTTCCCACATGCTAAAAGCTCAGGGCTTTAAAAAAAAAAAGTGCAACCATCAAGAAGATCGTGCATCCATCAAAGGCGAGCTGAGAAAGATTTTAGCTCAGCAGGCTCAGCTTACTGCAAAGCCTATGATGCACTTGTCTAGAGGAGCTGCAATACCATCCCCATGAAGACCAACTGTGTCGAATGAGAACCATGGGACCTGTAGTTCAAGACTTCTGCAGGACCTCCAACCACTGGGGGGGGGAGGAGTCCTTTTCCTTCTGCAGCATAGCCAGGACTGCAAACTCCTGAATGAAAAGAGGGACTAGGGATGAAATGATAGTCTTGCAACATCTCAGGGTCTTCCCCAAAGAAGAGGGGCTCAACCTATTCTCCAAGGCACAGGAAGGCAAGACAAGGAGCAAAGGATGGGAAATAATCAAGGGGAGAAGCAACCTGGAACTAAGGAGAAATTTCCTAAGTGAGAACAATTAACCAGTGGAATGGCTTGCCTCCAGAGGTTGCGGGTGCTCCATCACTGGAGGCTTTTAAAAAGAGACTGGACAGCCATTTGTCTGAAATGGTCTTCTGCTCGAGCAGGGGGTTGGACTAGAAGACCTCCAAGGTCCCTTCCAACTCTGAAAGTAATTTGAAGACCTGTGGGGGGGGGGCAGGGGAGGGGGGAGCGCAAGAGTCCCTTCGGGGGCCCACAGAGCCCTTGGTGGCCTCGCCCACGAAGGACAGAGGAGCTTTCAAATCTCCGGAAGACTCAAAAGGAGAGAATTTGCCCACCGCTTTCCCTTTCCACGTCGGAACAGGGAAAGTCCGCTCAACACGCGTGGACCGCGCTCTGGGGTCGCTTCGCTTTCTCGCTCCCCCCCCCCCCGCCCGGTGCTTACCTGGCAGCCAGCCAAGGCTCCAGGTGGTCGCAAAAGTGAGTCCGCCGCGGGGAAAGAGTCTTCGGGGCGGCCCGTGATGGGGAGAAGGGAGCGCGGCGGGATTCAGTGAAGAAACGGGCGCGCGCGCTCCGGGCCCGGCGTGGGTGGGGGGCGCAGCCAGAAAAGCGCGGGCGGGGAGGCGCTTGAAAGGGAGAGGGGCCGGGGCAGTTGTTCTTCTTCCTCCTCCTCTTCCTCTCCTCCTCCTCCTCCCTCTTCCTTTCCTCTTCCTCTTCTTCCTCCTCCTCTTCCTCCTCCTCTTTTCCTCTTCTTTTTCCTCCTCCTCCTCCTCTTCTTCTTCCTCCTCCTCTTCTTCTTTTCCTCCTCCTCCTTTTTTCCTCTCTTCTTCTTCCTCCTCCTCCTCCTCCCTCTTCTCTTCCTCTTCTTCCTCCTCTGCGCCTCCTTTTCCTCTTCTTCTTCCTCCTCCTCCTCTTTTCCTCTTCCTCCTCCTCCTCCTCCTCTTTTCCTCTTCTTCCTCTTCCTCCTCCCTCTTCTTTTCTCTTCCTCTTCTTCTTCTTCTTCCTCCTCCTCTTCTTTTCTTCTTCTTCCTCCTTCTCCTCCTCCTCCTCCCCTCGTGGTTTTGCTTCCTCTTCGATTCCCGGCTCTTCCTTCCCTGCAGAGCCGGTGCGCGCCCTCCGGGCTGAGCCCCGGGAAAGACGCTCAAGTTTCCCCAAAGAACCGGGTCCCCTCCCCACTCCGCTCCCCTGCTAACTTAGCCAATCCTTCCTGGACGGCTAAGAAGCACCTGCACAGCTCCTTTCACCCGCCATCCCCTTTCCGCCTCTTATTGCAAGATTGGGTGGATTCTCACGACGCCCGCGAAACACCCGGACTGGGCAACAGGCTAGAACTGCGGTCGACCCGCCCCAGCGGCCGGAGCCTCCCGAGGCCCGCGAACTTGACCCGGGAGTTTAATAGGGCGCTGAATCTCCGCCAGCTAGGATACTTGAGAAAAGCACCGTTAACCCCCGAGAAGCGAGTCGTGGGAATGCGACACCTCTCTTCCCGCGAGCGCCCGGTAGAGCCTCTTTCCCTCCCCTGCCCGTGTAAATCTTTGCGCCTTTCATTCGCACGGAGTCTTCCTTGGGGCTGCCCCCCGGCTCCCTTCTCTCCTACAAGAGGTGATGGGCATTGTAGTCCAGCACACCTGGAGGGCACCAGCTGGAAGAGCGCCTCCACCCCCAGCCCCCTCCCAGATTTTCTCGGCACAGCCGCCGCCCTCCTTCCCGGCTCTCCTCACCTTCCAGCTGGCTTCTCTTTAAGAGCCGGTCCGGCGGCCGGTCCCTTTGGGCCGTTGCAGCCGCCGCCGCCGCCGGGAAGCGAAGGCGAAGCTTTACCGGGCGAGGCTGAACCAGGGGGGGCGTCTCCCCCCGCGCCCCCCCCCCGCTGTCAGAGGCTG